ACCATGCATCGTGCCATAGGGCAAAAACAGTGAAGGCATTCCTTGGAGGAGAAAGATACATTCAGTCAATGTCATGGCCTGCAAATAGTCCAGATCTCAACCCAGTTGAAAACCTTTGGTGGAAATTGAAAAAAAATGGTCCACAAGAAGCTCCGACCTGCAAAGCTGATCTGCCAACTGCTATCAAAGAAAGTTGGCACCAAATTGATGAAGAATACTGTTTGTCACTCATCAAGTCCATGCCTCAGAGACTGCAAGCCGTTATAAAAGCCAAAGGTGGTGCAACTAAATACTAGTGATGTGTTTTGAATGGTCTTTTCTTTATCTGTTTTTTGTGATTCCACACTTTTTTCCTCAGAATTGAGTGATTCCAAATTTGTTTCCCTGTGCTTGGTCATTAAAAGTAACATTCACTGACTTCCACAATGTTTTCTCTTCATTTCTTTGAGAGTTCCTGAAAACCAACAAATTGCACTTTGGAATGACCTTATTATTGTATCATGTTTTTGATCTGAGTTTGTTTTACAGAATGAAATGTCTGAATGAGTGCTCATCCAAGACTGGTGATTCCATACTTTTTGCCAGGGGTTGTATAAATAAATTAGACATTTATTTATTTATTTATGACTGGTGATTCCATACTTTTTGCCAGGGGTTGTATAAATAAACTGGACAGATACAGATGAAGCTGATATGTCACATTCTTTTCTAAAAGCTAATTTAAAATTCGTCGTCTTTTTCCCTTGTACCACTTAAGTTATAGTATAAAAACAATTTTTTGCATAAATGCGTTTGAGTAGGTTGATAAATGATGGCTCAGAAACCACTGCATTAAATTCTTTAACCTAAGGCCCTGTCACACAATAATGTTTTAGAMAACTTTTGCTGACAAATGAAAATTTTGTTATGAAGTAATTTCTCATATAGGTTATGTATTTCTTTGATTTGTTAGCATTTGTTTGTATACATAGATGTATGCTTCCAGTGGATTTTTCTTTTTGTTTTGTCTTCTTTAGTGTTGGACAAAAAAAAAATTCAAAGTTTTCTGCAATGTTATAGTGTGACAGGGCCTTTAGTCATAACAAAAAATGTTAATAAATTATGCTGGCTCAACACTGAATAAGCAAACAATAATAAAACTTCCTGTATAAATTGTATTATTAGCAGTACAGTGACGGTGCTGTGATTTCAAGCTCTAGAGAAGTTAAAGGAGATGAACAAAACTTGTGAAATCTAAGCCGAAGGTAAACATGGAAAGTGGGGCTCGTTTTACGCTAAAACTCCAGACTTTTCAAACTCCTTTCTGCTGTTTTGAAAGGTGTCTTTGTTAGTTCTCCCCCGAGTCTTTGGTGGGATATATAATGAATAGCTGTAACTGGATGTTTCGGTTCAGTTCAGTTCKTGTTTGTGCACAAGCATTATTCTTCAAACTTTCATGTACAAGTAAAAATATTRCATCTTTTTGAGATTAAGGTGTGATGAAACCAGAATTCTTGTTGAAATGGCTTGAAAATCACTACAAAGAAAATAACTTCTCAGGTTTCAGCCCCACTTGTTTTCACTACACTAAGATCTCATTTCTAACAATAGTGTGCAAAACTAGTGACATTTTTTGGCCAACATAAATCTTTCACTACTTTAAATGAGGCTCTGTGTGAGAGGTGGTTGCTGGCCTTTGTGCCAAGTGAAGTTTTTTTCTTCTTCTTCTAGTGTAAAACCTGTACACTGAAACTGGTGCTGACTCACTCATTTTGTTAAGATATGTGTACTTGACTATTAGGCTGCTTTTGAATACCGAACAAGGTCAGTAAATCAGGACTGGAGTAATGAAACCATCTTATTTGCCTTGGCAGTCATCCTTAMGTCAACAAAGGGTTAAAGATTAGCGACTTCTTTAAGTTTTTTTTTCTTGCAGAGCAAAGCAAGGCTGGTAATTGATTCACACATCACTATAGAAACCAAACCCTTTCCTGCTTAAGATCGTGGGTTGCTAAGTACATTTTTGTTTTGGCTGATGATCCTAAGTAAAAGTRATTGTTCTTGCATTTTGCTGAAGGGCTTACGAATGCAGCATAAACAACATTTCAGATTTTAGCCACTTCTTTGATAAAAACATGTTTTCAGGCTCAGCTGCAGCCTTAAGGACTGAGAAATAATCTGGAAAGAAGCRTTGCTTAGATCGGGGTTTCTCTTGCAGCTTGAGCTTAAACTTCAYGTGTGGTTGCTCAGTGATCAACAGATAAGGCTTACGTTATTTCTGTTGAGTGTTTTGAAAAAGTTCAATCAAACATGAGTTTATAGTGCTTGTTGTTTTTGTGAGCAAGCAGGCTCACTCAGTACCTTGTAAAATGAAATTGTGTGGGGKTTTTTTTTTTTACCTTAAAGAACATGTAACATAAAGCATTGCTAGTTTTTGTTTTAAGAATTAAAATAGCACACAAATAAAAACATGATTAAACAATACATTACATCCTTGTTATAATCTTTCTTTTCTTTCTGTCTTTTTTTTTGTAGGCGGATTTGCTTTTGTGTATGAAGCCCAGGATWTGAGCAGTGGCAAAGACTACGCTCTGAAGGTAAGAGGAATGTGCTTTTTGATTTAAAAAAATATGCTTTTTACATGCTTAGCTGTCTTTAAATTTAAATTTAGGCTGGACTACTGGGTGTTTATCGCTTATTTGGTGGTAATTGGTTTTGTCTGTTAGCAGGTTTGTCAATGTTTCTGAATGAAACAATAAATCACAAACAAACTTCATTTTACAAAAAAAACCATCGCAGTTTTGAGACGCTGTAGAGAAATTTATGAGATGTCAAATGTCCTAGTGCAAAAAGCCTGCTGCAAAATCTCCAGTTCCCCAAGAAAAATCAGCAGCAGATCGTCTGGTTAGACAATGTGCAAACATAGCAAAAAAAATCTGAGAGCGTTTCCTGAGATGGAACCTTATCTTCTTAATATAGTTTTTGATGATCAAATTAACAAATAAACTCTCTTTTACTATATATATATAAATATATATATTTAAAAGACACAAATCATATTTTCCTAAGAGTGCCATGTGCTTCAGACCTAATGTGGTCYATAGTGGAAATATTTCTATGTACAGCTAAACTCAAGAAAATAGGCTTAGTGTTGAAAGAGATTACTGCTGATTCTCATAATCTGCTTGTRTGTTTTTGTTTCAGAGGCTGCTGTCCAATGAGGAGGAGAAGAACAAAGAAATTATACAGGAAGTCTGCTTTATGGTATCCTTTTATAATTTATGTTTTAACAACTTGTGTGCTTCTTATCAATGTTTTCATGTGAAAAAAGGTGAGTTAAGCTTTTACTCATTGTACTGAGCATAGTGGATTAAATCTTTATTGTGGTAAACTATCATTACTGAGTCGTTTGTTTATTTCACAGATTCAGTTACAGACGGTCAACATGTGCAAAACAGCAGCTATTATACAGTATTTATTATATTTAGTAGCATCTGTCAGATTTGACATGACACTTGGATTAATTTATCTGTTCCTTGACCCTCTGGTGCCACAGAAAAAGCTGTCAGGTCATCCAAATTTGGTTCAGTTCAGCTCGGCTGCCTCAATCAGCAAAGAAGAGTCAGACACCGGGCAGGCTGAGTACTTGATCCTCACTGAGCTCTGTAAAGGTAAACACTGACGTGCATCTGTACACACACATCTTCTACCTTTTTTTTTGTTTTCTGTTTTAAGGAACAATCATTTCTTATTCATTCATTAAACATAGTAGCAGACGTTAGAGTAGCAGACGTTAGAGTAACGTCTCAGTTTTTCAGGAAGGACATTTCTGATGAAATCTCCCTTTTTGTGGCTCTTCTATTTCCTGTTTTACTTCCTATTCTTTTGTTACAATGAATTGGCTTTATTCAGCAGTTTTTACAGCTTCAGATGTAGAAACTCTTAATACTTACAACTTGAAAGGAAAGCATGTGATAATTTTCCAAATTAGTTTCTTGTTTAAACTCAAATATTTTAGTTTTGCACAGAGTGAACACTATCAGTATTTACAGTATTTTTATCAGGCAGTTATAAAATATTCTTATTTCTGAAGTTAACCTATTTTCCCTCTTTTTATTTATTTTTTAATTCTTAGAATGTATGGTAACTTTTCAACTACCATGTTTTTAGCGAGTATTTCACATTATGCTGTGTCTAAGGAACTTTTTTCCTTTAGTTGCTTTATAACCCTCCTCTTTGCTCAASATCACCTTATTATAGGCACTCATTCATTCATGCATTCCCATTAACATGTCTCCTGCTTCAGGTCAGCTTGTGGACTTTATAAAGCGGGTGGAGCAGAAAGCTCCAATGTCCTGTGACACTGTGCTGAAAATCTTCTACCAGGCGTGTCGCGCTGTGCAGCACATGCACAAACAAAAACCCCCCATCATCCACAGAGACCTCAAGGTGGGCTTGTCCTTCATAGACGGATGAGTAAATACCGTATTAAAGGGTTGTGATTGACGAGGAGTCAGTTTTCCGCAGCTGTACTGATTTAGATCGTCTTTGATGTGTCGCAGATTGAGAACCTCTTGATTAGTAACCAGGGCACCATCAAGCTGTGTGACTTTGGCAGCGCCACCACAGTCTCACATTATCCCGACTACAGCTGGTCTGCACAGAAGAGGTCCATGGTGGAGGATGAGGTACACACACATCTCAAACATCTGTTAAAAAGCCTTMTAACATCAGTATRMTTATTATTAGAATACACTGGAGTCACTTTATCAGATTGTGGGATACAATACATCAGAGTTCTGTTTTATCACTGTATTGTTTTGAGTCAYGTCTTTTACTAGTCCAGGTGCTTCTCTGTGGAGTGGGTGTTTACCCTTATTCATTATAGCTTTCAGTTTATTCAGTGTCCCCATTTACTTGGGAGTCCAGCCTCCTGCCAAATACCGAGCTAGCTTTTTACATCAACTTGTTTAGTCTCTTGGTACGTTTGTCTGTTAGGTGGCAACTCCAACACACTGGTCACCACAGTGTGATAAAATGAGTGCAGCATCTGTTTTGCAGACATCATGTACAAGTTTATTACATCAGATCCTTCCTCATCACACAGATATGTCATCAACTTTCCACTTCCTGTTATGACACTTTGTGTGTCGTCATACTTCTTACTGCTCTTTAAAAATGTTTTAAAGGGATCCCTGATTAGTTGTAACATTAGACTTTATTTGATAAACATATATTTTAACTGTAAAATAAAGACTGTAAAAATGCTGTAGGAGTTTTAGTTTTTATAATTTTTAAAAAGATATTTTAACATGGATGGGGCCATTTTATTTACACACAAAGCATTATGGGTAAATGCTTACGTGTATAGGTCCTCGGTGTGAGCAAGCTCTATCCACCCTGAAGGTTAATCTTGGACAATATCTCATGATCGACTCTTTTAAATGAAACCAGAGAGCGTTGACAGAGAGGAGAAGGTAGAAATGACTCAGCCTGTAACTGAAAATATGGATGGAGGACAACAGAGCTGCTTCATGGAAGAAGAACCTCAGCTTAGCCTGTTAGCTTTAGTGCTAGCGCCAACACTACATTGCCTTATATGTATTAGCTCAGCGCTAGCACGACAAACAAGCTAAACTGAGGTCCACCATCCATATTTTCAGTTACAGGCTGAGTCATTTTTGTGTTCCCCTCTCTGTCATCAAATAAAATCTGGAAACATTTCACACTACAGAAAATGACAGCCCTTTGAATGTGTTTTAAATATTATTCTTTCATTCTATAATCTTAAATGCTGATAAATTCAGACTACTGTTAGGAAAGAAGAAAATAATAAAACATTCATGATTCTCAATGAATCTGTGGCAGTAATGACTTTGGAGTGTTGCATAAAAACCAGAAGCCTTTGATTGAATTTACCAGTAGAGGTTCCAGGAAGATCAATGAGATTAATTATTTTAATATCATAACTATGTCGCCACATGYCTCATTAAAGGAACTTTGCCACAGATGACCTCAGTGTGCAGGACACCAGAGTTTGTAAATCTAATTGCATGAATTTCTGCTAAGCATGTGATTTCAAGCTAGTTAGGCTGAATCAACCCTATTTTTAATGCATAGAATATTAGACCCCTAGAAACTGATATACATTCTTTACAAACAAAACGATCAGGTAAAATATTGCTGAGATATAGAAAAAAAGTTTTACTCCAATTTGAAACTTTGTTCATTTTTGTTTCTTCTATTTCTGTATAGATCACAAGAAACACCACTCCAGCCTATAGGACACCTGAAATGATTGATTTATACTCCAACTTTCCCATCAACGAGAAACAAGACATCTGGGTCAGGATTTTGACAATTTTTTGTGTTTTTAGTGTTTTTTGCCCCCCAAAAAAACAAACAAACAAATAACAAACTGCTTGCTTTATTTTTGTGCCTCCTTTTGTTCAGGCTCTTGGATGCATCCTCTACTTGTTGTGTTTCAAACAACATCCTTTTGAGGAGGGAGCTAAGCTGCAAATAGTCAATGGGAAATACTCAATCCCTCAGAACGACGGCAAATACACCGTGTTTCATGACCTCATAYGTACGTACTGCCTGTTTGTTTCCAGGTTTTTAATGCTTCTTGATCTCAGTGCATTTATTCATCACGCTTTGAGACCTGCTAACTTCATTTACAAAGAAATATCATGGAGACTTAAACATATTTCATTAGGTTAAAGAGTAACTTACCCCAAAATTAACTTTTTTAGCTGATAAACTGTCTAGAATGTGTCTAAAATCTTATATAGTACTGTTTCTGTGCTAATTTTGATGTTTTTGTGCGTATTTGTTCAATTCTGTAATATTTGATCTAAAAATGTGTTTTTGCTGCTCATATGGGTAGAGCAGTGGTACTGCAGGCTAATTTGCATATTGGTTAACGGCTCTCCACAGTGACGTGTCTTCTCCACAGTTTCGTCA